TTCTAGCAAAGTAGGCTTGGAGACTACTGCAATCCCCTTACTGCCTTTTCTCCCAGTTCTTTAAAAGTAGATATTTTAATGACAGCAGCTTTCTCTTCTCTGTGGCTGGCAGCAAGCCGTTTTTTGCTTGGAGAAGCATTCTCCATGGCCGTGAGCTTTTGGTGAAGGGTCTTAAGCAGATGGTGGGTGATGGTTCCTCCTTGTATGTGTGGATCTCTAAGTGGTTAGATGATGTGGATAGAGGCTGTATGCGTGCTCCTCTGATGAAGAATATTCTCATTAACTTGGATCAGAAGGTTAATGAGCTGATTGATCATCCTAACAAGAGATGGAAGAATGAGGTGCTGATTGACTTGTTCTTCCCTGCTGATATTGAGATCATTGAGAAATCTAAACCGTTCCCTTCTTCTCCGGATTTCAGATGCTGGAAGCATAACAAGAGTGGTGAATATTCTGTCCGCTCAGGATATTGGTTGGCTTCTCAAGTCCATAAAGCCGATGCCATTCACAATGCTACAGCTGGTCCATCTTTGAATGGTATTAAAGATGACATTTGGGCTATCCTTGCTCCCACTAAACTGAAAGTTTTTCTGTGGAAAGTGGTGAGTGGTGCTATCCCTGTGGCTATCAGATTAAAGACGCGTGGTGTGATGATTGATCTTAGATGTCAAATATGTGGAGAAGAAGGGGAATCTATTGACCATGTCTTGTTTTCCTGCCTTTTTGCTCGTCAGGTGTGGGCTTTAGCTAACCTTCCTTCCCCGATTGATGGGTTTACTTCTCACTCTCTTTACCATAATATTCACTTTTTCTTAGCCTTAAAAAAGAACAAAACAATTCCTCTTGAGATTAGAAGGATGGTCCCGTGTGTGGATGTCAGATTCACACACTCAAGTATTTTTATTAAGTAGGAAAGATTATTCTTGAGGAACAAAAAATAAGAATGTAAAAAGCTTATGAATTGCTACAAAAATTGCTATAGTATTTCTTGCTCGAGAAAAAGATCCCCTTTTACATGGCCATTTGCCTTTATATTTATACATAGAAAAATGACATTTAATGGGCTAATTAAGTACAATTATCCTCTCTTAAATGTGTCTGTTTTGATTTTTGACTTTAATTCTTAACATTTGAATTTGAGTTGACTTCGATCTTCATGGGCCTCGACATTTGGCCCAAATGTCCTTGAACCGACTTAACCGTGACTTTGAGGTCGGACTCATATCGAAGTGCAATCACTTCGAATTCCTCTTATGGTGATAAACACTTCGATTGCTCCTTTGGCTCACGGATTCAATGGGCTTTATCCTTTATGGGCCAATATTTTGACTACGTGGCAATCTTTGGTTGGTCTCGAACTTCTAGTGCGGGATCCGACACCAACAATTAGCCCCCCAAGTTCTTCGAAGTGCTATTCCAATTCGGAGGACTTTAAATGCTTTAATGACCAAAGATTGCATTCTGAGGAATCTTCTGATTTTCCCGCCAAGATCTCGTCAGTCCTTTAATTTCGGCGCTGTCGATGTTTAGCCGCGTGACATCTGTCGCCATTATGACCATATCTCAATTATTTACTATTAAAGCGGGAAACCTTTCCACTTCCCCACGATTCCCAAGGCGGTTTCACCATTATCACTTAGCTTTCGTGAGGTAACTTCTTTCATCATCACTTTTTTTTTACTCTTACATTTTAGTCGAAACTTCTCTCTTCTCTTTCTTCGCCGATTTTCTCTTTGCCGGATTTTAAATTTCTCATCTTCTTCGATGACTTTTGATTCCGAAAGACCCGAGTCTCCATCTTTTGAAGGCGGCTCTAGTAATGACGAATGCACTCGTCCTAACGACATCGCCGGTCCACACTACAGATCCACCTATACCCTTCAATCCCTAGAGCGATTGAAGGAGCTTTGCCAGATTCCCCCTGGAATCATAGCGGAGGCGCATATAGCCGACCCTACGGAGTCCTCGGAAAACCACCGCGATGGCTACTTTTGTGTCTATGAAATCTACTTCAAGGACTACGGATTGACCTTTCCCCTTCCCGAAGCCCTAGTTCGATACCTAGCGGCCCTTGAGATCGCTTTACCTCAGCTAACCCCCAATCTCCTCCGAACCATCCTCGGAATCATAACCGTAGCGGCGGAAGCAGACAACATTATTGGGGTCCCCGAGCTGAACGAACTTCTAAGCGTGAGAAGTTTGTCAAAGAGAACAGGGTACTTCTCGGCGTATCCAAATGCCAACAGGAACGCCATCTCGCATCTCCCGAACAAGGATAAAAACTGGCACCATCCTTGGTTCCTGATTAAGAAAACTCCTACTTCGATTGGAAATCTTTCCGATGTACTCCCATCGAAGTGGTCTGCGAAGCCTGGTAGAAACTAGGTCGTATATTCTTTTCCTGGTTGTTTTATTATTTTTTACTGACCAAACTTGTTGTTTCACTTCGCAGCTCTCATCGCTTCAACTCTTCCGACTGAAGAATTTGTCAAGTTCTTCAAAACAATCCTTGAAGGGGATACCCTTTAGAATTCTTTCACCTTCGATCGGTTCATTGAAGCCAATCGAAAACTCAGGATGAGTCCCCCCAATCAACTTTATCGTCTTCCGCCTCCTCCCTCAACTCAGGGAATGTCAGCTCGGGCCTTCGCTGCCCAGCGTAAGAAACTTTCCAAGCCGATGGCAGAGGCTTGTGATGAAAACAAGGCGTTCCTTGCGGACGCTATTGACAAAAAAGACTACAGCAGGACCCTGCTGGTTGACGACAACAGCACCGAGGGAGCCAGATCCGTCGCTGCTTTCAGATTAACTCCTCGTCGCGATTGTCGTGACGCACGTTCTCCTCGGAGGGACCGATCTCCTCGCCGTGATTCACCTCGTCCTTCCCGAGATGATTTTAGCAATGAACCACTTAAGAACTTGGTTCGCAGGAAGAGAGATAAGTCCTCTCGTGGTGATTCTTCTCCGCGAAGGGAGAAGTCAAGGGCCCAGACTGACCGTTCACCTCGATCATCCCCTCCTACTGAACCAATGGGTCCTCCCCGACCTGTTGCTATGTCTTCCTCTTCCCAGCCTGACAGCGAATAGAATGTCCGGAGCGCATCTCATAAAAAGGGAGATTCTGAATCTTGAGATGCTTCCTCGAGGTTAAAGCCTGCTCTTGTCCCTCAAGTCAAATCGCTTTCAGGTTTGGTGATTTGCACATACTTAAAAGTTTTTGTCTCTATTCAGATTCCAATTTTTACAACTTTTCCTCCTTCGCAGCTATGGAGAAAGAAGGCAGCGTCTTCCGATGCTTCAAGACCCGATCGGGTTCGATCTTGCCAGACTTCGACAAGTAGCGCCCTGCGATTCATGAACGCTATTTGCTTCATGCTCATCATTCATCTTGGGTTAGTTCCGCTTTATTTTTCCGATTGTGCTGCCGTTCTTCGAAATGACTCACCATCCCGGTTTTATGCATAATGCCATGCTAACGGTGAGCTTAATGACATGATTGAACATTATGAGGGGCTGGTCATTGGTCGGGAAAAGGAGATTGACGCGTGGAAGAAAAAACTTTCTGCTCTTGAGGCTGAACTAAGCTCTTCTACCGGCTCTAAGCACGATCTGGAGGACAAGGTCGATAGTCTAACATCCGAGCTTGCGAAGATAAAGGTGGAGCTGCAGGACCAATACGACCAGAATTACAAACTCCAGGAAGAGCTTTCTGGTGTTCAGGGTAGGCTTCACGAATCCGAATCAACCGCCGACACCCTGAACAACCAACTTACTGAGCTTAACAGGAAGTACAAGACGATCACCAAGTTATGTGATTTCGAGTTGGCAAGGTCGGCATCGAAAGCCAGAAAAGAGGTTAAAGGACGCGGGATGGAGTTGATCCAGGGGGCCATCCGCTTCATTCAAACCGAGAAAGCTAGGACAGATTTGGAATCAGACATCAAGGTGCACGAGAGCAACCTAATTCTGTTGGATCAAATCCATGACACAGATTTCTCCGAGGTGCGAGAGAGGACCGAACTGTCGGCTAATCTATCTGAAAAGCGGAGTCGCTTGGCAGCTCTTTCCACTTCGACCTTCAACCCGCAGGACTTCGAGGAATTCTTCACTGAATCGCCTCCTATAAGTGAATCGGGTCTAGATTGGGCAGGTAACGCTTGGCTCCTGATACTTACTACCTTTTTCTCACCTCATGTTTTTTTTTAAAATTGACTGGAACTGTCCTTCCCAGGCTCAAGTGAGACTGAAGATGTCATCCCACCCGAAGTTCCTGAGGCACCGGAGGTCACCCCGGAGGATGGTTGTACCGTGGAGGGCGGACCAGGAGCTTCATCTGACCAAGCACCAGCCAAGGAGGCGAATGAAACTTCGACTGCCGAGCCGGAGTCCGAAGTGGCTGTCACTCCGTAGTGGCTGCGTCCACTTTAAATTGGGGATTGTCCCATCTATTTTAAGACTTAATTTCGAACTTGTTTCTGCCTAAGGAGGCTTTATCATTTCTTTTGAACAAAGTATTTGCCTGAGGAGGCTTTTAAACCTTTCTAGGTTATGACCCCAAGGGGGTTTGGTTAAAATTATGTGCGGGTTTGCAAAGTCCGTTTTTAACCTTTTGTGGCCTTGTGGTTATGCTTTCGGGATTTTTAGGCTGATTAGACCTTTCTCTTTAGAATGCGAGAACTGAGCTCGGCTTAAAGCAAGTTCTCCACTTCGGGTTTAGTCAACTCGGCAAATTTGTTGGGCTTGGGCCTTAGAAACTTTCGTAGTTAATGCGACGGTTGCTCTTTCCCTTCTTATTTCTTGAAAGTAGGAAAAGCGGCTCGTCTTTAATGCAATAACTGCCTTTTCTCGATTTTCCAAAAATGGTTTAAGTTACTTGGGCACGCCATTATTAATGATTTTTCGATTCTAAGACAAACCCTATTCCTATTATAAATAGGAGATTGTTTGCCTTTAATCTTTTCTCAAGAAACTTCATAATTCATTCAACAAGCACCACATCAATGGAGAACGAAAACGTAGTCCCCGTTGATCCTGGCAGCCCGCTTTTATCGACAAGGTTAATACCCGTCGTCCTTGATTAAAAACTTTCTGTTTCATTTTATTCACTCATCTTTATGCTAGGTCGCCGACAAACACCGTCACTTGTGTGAGGAGAGGCAGCGGCTAGGTCTCAAAAGGCAGACACTCGAGGCTCGCATCGCTCGGGTGGAGAGGAAGATAAGGGCTCCGGAAAGTGATCCCTTTCAATGGGAATGGCGGAACTTCGATTCTGTTGCTGAGATCCCAAAAATGCTTCGGATGTATCTCCGTGCTAAAGGAGTTCCGGGTCCCGTGAAAGCCCCGGTCTTTGCCGTTCCATCTGATAGCGAGGAAGAAGACGAGGAGGAGGCCAGTACCAGTCGGAAACGCGTTCGTGATCGTCCCGAAGTGGATGCCAAGAACAAGGCGTCCACTTCGAAAACTAAACCGGCGATGAAGGAGCCTGTTCCTGAGCCTCTTCCATAAATGTTCTCTAACTTCTTTACTTATTTTGAACTCGTAATGGGCTTCAGCCCCTTTTTTATTTATGGTAACATTTGCAATTTTCCTTATTCTTCAAATATTCTCGGAGATGCGTCTTTTAATGCAGGATCGGTTTAAGGGCATAAATCTCTCCGCGAGTCACTCCATTACTAGGATAGAATCCGCAGCTTACTAGGAATATGATATTCCTATAAATTATAGTCTCAACTTCTCTTTCCTCCTCACTACTCTTTTTCATTTTAGCAGGTATGGAGTTCAACCTTCGATGTTCAGAATCTATGCCCGACTTCTCCAGGATCGGAATGATAAACAAAGATGCCCCAAATGAGCCAAATAGGAGGCCTCTTCCACCTCGCGGCTTCTTAAGATCCCAGATCCGAGCTCCATGTGCTTTGATCAGGGATCTCCCAATCAGAGACCAAGGAACAGCGATGGCATTCATAGAGGCACTTGCGCTTCAACATCGGAAGCTTACGTTGGAAAAGAGGAGACTCCGGAAGAAGATTAACCGGATGCAACGCAGGCTTACTACGGTGTCAAGAGATCTTCACGTCCTTGAATCTCACCCTGGAGAATGGGTCGAGCTTGGAATCTCTGACTTCGCTCGAATTCCGGACTGCATGATGCCAATCCTCGACCTTGCTGGTCAAGGAGTTGAAGTGTTCTACTCGTCAACAAGATCTCCATAACCCGAAGTGTTCGATGAGGGACATTCCATCTTTTTTTTTTTTGTTTGAATAAACGCTCTATTTCCAATCTCTTGTATGTTCACATAGCCGAACCTTTATTTGCTTCATTTGTTCGCACAGTCGAACCTTTCCCTTTAATACAGAAATAAAACAAATTTTTATTAATAGCTGAACTCTTTTCCGAGCTGCCTACGTACACATTTTGGGATCAAGCCACACCGTAGTTCATGTACATATAAAATGCATGTAGCTTTAAACATAAAACTTCTTTAGGTTGATCACATTCCAAGGTCGCTTGACTGGCCTGTCTTCTAAGTCTTTCAATCTATAAACACCGTTCCGAACCACTTCGGTAACAATGTAAGGTCCTTCCCAATTAATACCGAGTTTACCGGCGCCTTCTTATTTTTTATTGTCAAAAACGCGCCTTAACACATAATCTCCCACGAAGAACGGCCTACTTTTGATTTTAGAGTTGTAATATCGGGCTGCTGCCTGTTGGTAATTCTGGATCCGAATCAAAGCTTGATCACGCCTTTCATTTATGGTATCTAGTGAATCATTAAGCATTGCTGAATTTTCTTCCTCATTTAATGGTGCTTCTGTTCGGCGACGTCCGGGCACGTTGAGTTCAGCTGGTACTACTGCCTCCATGCCATAAACCAAAGAGAATGGAGTTTCTCCGGTAGGTCGCCTAGGGGTTGTACGATAGGCCCATAGGACGGGTTGGAGTTCTTCATACCATCCTCCCTTTAGATGATTCAAACGTTTCTTGAGATTGCTCAATATCGTCTTGTTCGCGGCTTCAGCTTGACCGTTTCCTTGCGGATATCGTGGAGTAGAGTAACTGACTTTGATTTCCCAGTCCGCACAAAAGGCATCAAACTCTTGTGAAATGAATTATGGCCCGTTATCGGTGACTATTTCGTACGGAACTCCATGTCGACATATAATATTCTTCCAAATGAAAGTCTTCACCGCTGAATCCTTGATGCCAACATATGCCTCAGCTTCAATCCATTTTGAAAAGTAGTCCGTCAAGACCAAAAGGTATTGTACACCTCGAGTTGATCTGTGCAATGGTCCAATGATGTCCATTGACCACCTCATAAACGGATACGGGGCGGAGATGGAAGAGAATAAATCTGAAGGTTGATGGATCAATGGTGCATGGAGTTGGCAGCGCTTACATCTTTGGGCAAATTTAACACAATCCATGATCATAGTGGGCCAATAGTATCCCATTCTTTTAACTTTAAAAGCCATAGTTCTTCCTGATGAATGACTCCCACATAATCCTTCATGCACTTCGCTCATGACGATTTTGACTTCGGGCCCAAAAATGCATAATAGGTAAGGGTCACTGACACCTCGTCTATATAATGCATCCTTTGATAGACAAAATTTCGCGCTAACGATTTTCATTTTCCTGGCCTGCCACTTATTCTTTGGGAGCTCGCCTGTCATGATGTAGTGCTTTATTGGCTCCCTCCAGTCAGCCCCCCAGTCTTTAGCCGGAATTTGGTCAACCTTGTGAAATACTCGTGGCTCTGGTTCGGGATGTTCGTTTGGTTCAAGAACATCCTCCTCGATTAACGGCTCGGTTTCTAATATCGTTTCTGGAATCACATCTTCTGCTAAGATAACGGGTTCCTTGTTAGATGTGTTTGATCCCTTTGACTTTCTCCGTTTGTTGGGTGGCGGTTTGATCTCTGGTTCGCCACGGTCACGTGCCGCTGGAATAACTCTTTTGTTGTCTTGAATGCTTCGCTCCGAAATGCATTCCACTGGAATAACTCTTTTCAACTCAGGATCTGATGTTGATGCTAATGCGGTAAGTGCGTCCGCAGTTATATTCTCCCCCCGAGGTATGCGGATTAATTCGAATTTCGAGAAATTTTTAGATAGATCCTTCACCACTTCGAGGTACGCATCCATTCTTGAGTCCTTGGCTTCATAGTCTCCATTAAACTGGTTAACTACTAATTGCGAATCACAATAAGATACTATTTCCTTAGCTCCAACTCCTTGTGCCAATCGAAGTCCGGCAATCAGGGCTTCGTATTTTTCCTCGTTGTTGGAGGCATTGAATAACAATCGGAATGACTGTTCTAGAATTTCTGATGTTGGAGACTCCAACTTGATTCCCACTCCGGATCCTTGTTTTGTTGAAGACCCATCTACATGTAATTTCCAAGTTTGGTTCTCCGGTTGCTCTATCGTTCTAGGTATTGGTAGCTCGGTCAAGAAGTCTGCTAAAACCTGAGCCTTCATACTGATCCGGCTTTTGAATTCTATATCGTACTCACTTAATTCCACCGCCCATTTTGCCAAACGTCCGGACTGACTTGGACTATGAAGTATTGTTCGGAGTGCCTGGTTAGTTAATACTTCAACCAGATGGGATTGAAAATATGGGCGCAGCTTCCGAGCCGAAGTCACCACCGCGAGTGCGAGTTTTTCCATCATTGTGTATCTGGTTTCCGGATCCGTCATTGACTTACTTACGTAGTAAATTGGCTTCTGCTCCCCGCGGTCTTCCCGAACCAAGACTCCACTAACCGCATGGTTTGAAACCGACACGTACAAATAAAGTTTTTCATCCACTTCTGGTTTGGACAGTATAGGTGGAGTGGTTAAGTATGCCTTAAGCTGCCCAAAAGCTTCTTCACATTTCTCATCCCAAAGGAATCCTCTGTTTCCTTTTAGAATTTGGTAGAAAGGTAACTACTTATCTGTTGATCTCGAGATAAAACGATTCAAAGCCGCAATCCGCCCAGTCAACCGTTGTACTTCCTTGAAGTTTCTTGGAGATGGCATGTTTAGAAAGGCGTTAATTTGATTTGGATTGGCTTCAATCCCTCTTTCTGTCACAATATAGCCAAGAAATTCTCCGGATGGGACTCCGAATGTGCACTTTACCGGGTTCAGCTTCATTTGATATTTATTGAGAATATCAAAACATTCCTCTAAATGCTTAACGTGATCTTCTTTTCTTAACGATTTAACCAACATATCATCTATGTAGACTTCCATTGTCTTCCCGAGATGATTGTGGAACATTTTGTTAACCAACCGTTGATAAGTTGCTCCTGCATTTTTCAAACCAAAAGTCATTACCTTGTAACAATAGATACCTCTATCAGTGATAAATGACGTTTTTTCTTGGTCTTCGGGGTTCATCATTATTTGATTATAACCCGAGAAGGCGTCCATGAATGTTAACAGCTCGTTCCCAGCGGTGGAATCTACAAGTCGATCTATATGTCGGAGCGGGAAACTGTCTTTGGGACATGCTTTATTGAGGTCTGTGAAGTCGATGCAAACCCTATCTTTTCCATTCTTCTTTTTGACAACGACAGTGTTTGCTACCCATTCCGGGTATTGCACTTCTCTTATGGACCCTATCTTCAAAAGTTTATCCACTTCGTCATTTACTATTTTTGCTCGCTCCACTCCGAGCTTTCTTCTTTTTTGTTTCACCGGCTTGAAGCTCGGATCCACGTTTAGTTCATGACAAATTATACTTGGATCTATGCCAGACATGTCCGCCGCTGACCACGCAAACGATGTTTTGTTTTTCCTCAAGAGTTCGATCAAAGCTTCTTTTAATTGGCCAGTCAAAGTTCCCCCAATTAGAATTTTCCGGTCCGGTTTGTTTTCTTCCAACACCACTTCGATTACTACATCATCTTTTTTCTGCCTGCTAGGAAATTTTGTTCTTAGTCCCTCTTTTGCGGGCTTCGTTAATTGCTATTGAATCTTCATACGGTGGCTAGCTAGATAACACGTCCGTGAAGCTTCTTGATCTCCCCGAACTGTTTCCACTCCTCTTGATGTTGGAAATTTGATACATTGATGATATGTAGAGGGGACTGCTTTCATTTGATAAATCCAGGGAGTCCCGAGGATGATGTTGTAAGCTGCGGGCTTATCGAAGACAACGAAGTCCACGATCTTAGATACCTTTTTGGCAAGGACCGGTAGCTTGATTGTCCCGAGAGACATGGCTGACTCACTTGTGAATGCAAATAATGGAGACGGAGGCCCTACTATGTCCGCCCGACGAATTCCCATTCTTTCTAAAGTACTTAAGAAGATCAAGTCGACCGAACTGCCTGTATCTATAAGGATCCTTGATACTTCGAAGTTGGCAACGTCAAGGGTAATGACTAGAGCATCATCATGAGGTCTTTCGAGGTGCCGCGTTTCTTGTTCATTAAATGATATTGATGCACCTTGAAAATCGACTTCTTCGCTCAAGCTTGCTTTGAGTAGGACATTTCGTCTATG